AGAAAAAGGAATTTAATTACTTGTTTATTTGCTTCTTTTTATGTAGTTCTAACATTTTATAAAAGGTTTTTGTGGTTTCATGAAAAATCAGTGTGCCATTTTTTAAAATCTGATTAATCGATTAATAAATACATTTACACCTTCATTCTTTTGCTTATTTACAGCTCTGAGTGAGTTATTCTTTCAACAAATTGAAATTTTTAGAGTGTGTACCTTCCAGTTAATGATTAATAAATTACTAAATTAGTTTATGATTACTTCAATAATCAGTTAATCACAATCAATTTGATTAATCGTTTTAGCTCTAATCTGTACCACTAAATATTAAGCTCTGGCTGCTTGGGAGGAGACTTGAACTGAAATTACATGTTTTTTTAGGATTTTGTTTCCCCCACAATATGTGGTTCATCTTAACATTTTAATTAAACTAGTACTATATTAGCTGCCGATTATTTCAATAATCGATTAATCATGATTAATCGTTTCAGTCTATAGTTTAACATGTCAGTGACGTGTAATAATGATGATTTCTGTTGCCTGTATCCCCCTGGCAGACCCTCACCATGGGACCCCCATGCTGCTGGAGGGGGTTCGGTGCCTGGGGGCCCAGAGGGACCCCCACGCCAGGCGCAGCAGTGAGCGGAAGAGGATATGATGAACAGACTCAAAGCCACTATCTTTATACATGAAGATGTAATAATTATTATGTTACAGGGTCAAGGCTCACAGTGGGCTGCAGAAATGGCCTCATGTGTGTCCCTGTTTACAACCATCATGGATTTGTGATGCTGTTAAAGTATTTATTGAAACGGTGGGAATGATGCAGCATGTTGAATTTCCACTGTAATTATGCTGGATTATGGCTCTAATATACAGATAAAATGTTTAAGTACTGACTTCTCTGCTGTGAAAAAGATGAGCTAGTTACACTCTGCACTTTCTTTGGTTTTAAGCCAAGAAGCCTCCATGCTGGAGAGGGTATAAAACCAGCATGAACAGTAGCCAGCGTACGATCTATCACCCAAACCTGCACTCACTGCCAGACGAAAATCAGCTCATCAGCAGCAGCAGCAATCGCATAAAGACAGCAACCCAACAGAACGTCCAAAATTAAAGGAGACCTATTATGCAGAATTTATATTTTGCACTTCCATTTGGGTTTCTACTGCTTCTAAAAACAGACCAAAAAATACTCAGCAATTTTTTAGCAATATGTTAATATTTTTGGTGTCTGGAAAATGAGCCATTTCAAAAACCTCCAGAATGTGGCATCACAAATCAACAGGCACTACTCGTTATCTAGCAACCACAGCAGAGCTCCACCTATTACCTAGCAACCACAGTGGAGCTCCTGCACATTAGGTCGGCTGGCTGAGCTGCACAATGGCTGCAGGAAAAGAAAAGTTTTATTGTTCTTACCATTTAGAAACCACATGCTGCATTTTTGTTGGTTGTGCAGGAGGCTCCACTACTGCTTTTCAAAGTTGTACGGATATATAACTGCACATCTGTTTGCAGCATTTTCACGTGTGAGTGTAAATGTTGAGTTGATGGGCGTGGCCAGCAGTAGCTTATTTGGATTTAAAGTGACAGACGCCCTAAAACAGCTCATAGGCAGAACTGATCAGACTAAAATCTATTTTTTTGTGCAGAAAACGTAATGAATATGTTTCATATTGCTAACAGATCTAGCCTAACCTGTTCAAGGAAGCACAATAGATCACCTTTACGAAACTGAATGCAGTTTGGTTTGGAAGTATAACTCATAATCTCATATTTAAAGGAAGGTTGTTAGAGACTAAATAAAATTTCTGATGATTGCATGTTACATTTAGCTCACTGCCAAACATATAAATTGACTTTTCAGTTGAGGCAGCCTGGGACTGCTACAGTAATATTCACCTTTCTGCTATCAAACCTTTCCAGAAAATCAGAGATTCCTTCATTCAACACAGAGGCTCACATTTCCTTTAACTAGAGTCTGGTAATGTAAATTTCACTGTCTTATCATAAAGTTGTTCATTTTTTAAGTATTCAACTCAAGATATGTCAGTGCATGGTGGTGTTACACTTCCCACTAACCCCAAGAGCAGAGCCCTTTTTATTTTACTATTATCCAGAATCATGTCTTTTAGTTTGAAGAACAAAATAACTACATATGGACTTTAAAAATATTAACTTGTATCTGTTCTGTTAAAACAACTGGAGAATTTTCTGTGAATAATCATAATTAGAATTAATACAGAAAACAGGTGATTTTTTAAAAAGTACATTGGAACAATCTGATCACTATCATTCATCCCTTAACACTGCCTAAGAATACACATTGTTTGCATGATATATAACAAAGCTAAATTATTACTTTAAATATTACTGAATTCAATAAAATAGTCCTCAGTTGAAAGAAGACTTCCTCCCTTCCTTTTGTTTTCTGAGTGATGAAAGATTAATATCCAGATGAATCTACTTCCATCTTGACTTCAGCATTTTGACAGACATGCTTGATATTTAAATCCGTTAACGGATCCAATCTGGACGCGGCGCTGGGCCAAACTCAGACCACATTGTGACAGCGAATGTTGGCTAACGGAGTTGGAGTCAGGCTCTGATACCAGACTAAAACTAAAGTGACTTTCATCATCAGGGGTCTGAAGATTTCTCCTGTTTTTGTTCTGTTGTTGGTTTTGATGGTCAGTCTGGAGTTTACTGTTGCTGCTCTGTTTAAATTAAAGCACTCGCTCAAACACCGTTCTGTCTGTTCTGTTCCTGCTTTCTGGGCTTAGGGAACTTTGAATTTTTATTTAGTTTTTATTTATTATGTTTTATTTACTTAGATCTTTCTATTTTAGAGGCTAGTTCAATTTAATTTAAGTTTATTTAATCCAGTACAGCACATTAAACAACGATACATGTTAAAAACAGAGCAAATGTTGTATGCAGGTTTTCTAGTTACTAATTTGCAAACCCAACTCTTGAATGGATTTTTAAAAATCCAGTAAAATTAAAGATTTGTTTATTCATTTTGTTTTCCCCTTTGTGTTGTGTATTATTTTCTCTTAGATTAGAGCCATTCTCTTCCCTTTCACTACTAGCTCCTTGTCTCACCTTTCTTCTCCCACTATTTAAGCTGGGATGCAATGGCTCATTCCATTGTATTGCCTTTGTTCTGTCTTCCTGCATTCATGCTGTAAGTTCTCATTTTGTTATTTTTTATTTTGTAAATAAATAATAAAGATTTAAATATTAATTATTTTTCCCTTCCTCCCTTCTTTTATTTCTACAGCAAACAACTAATGGAGAAGAAACTTTTTTTTAAATCAGATGTTTCTGTTTTTTCTTCTCCAAGAGAGTAGAAGAAAAGCTTACCTCACAGTTTTTCCGTCTTTCCCATATGGCTAAAGGAAGTGCAGCTGTCTATTATCCATATAGCATAATTGAAAATTTAGCGAATCCTGAGTTGATGTCTTCAGATTTACTTTATGTTTGTGGAATTACTGGGGTCAGAATTTATCTGTGACTCAGTGATTAATAACATGCGCAGTAGTCTATCAGGATCTGTAGCTGCAGTTTTTTTTTTTTTTTTTGTTTATTTCAAAAAGGACAATGCACACCGTATAATATGCCAGAGTTAGGCATAAAGGCTATGGCTTGTGATTTTATTTTTTTTCTGTTAACTTCTGTGTCTGGGATAAAGATTAAGCTGGAGGCGTTACCGCATCAAGACGTTGTTTGGCAACCGCCAATAAACAAAAGAAGAAGAAGAAGATGACTTGCATTTTAAGCAGCACAGAAGGACACAGGGAGTTTCGGGCTGATTGAATGCCACAGACTGACATTTGGGAATGGGCTGATTTTTCTGCAGCGCCAGAAATGTTTACATTCGGATAGAAATCGTTTCAGGTGAGTAACTCATTTCTGTACAAAGAGATCGACGGACTTTGTTGCTGTTTAACTTTATCCCAGCGTACACGCCTGGCTTAAAGTTTCGATTCAGTTCATCTGTTTTTCCTCCAGTGAAGCTGCATGAGAAACCTTAACGTTTTCAAATAGCAAAGTTTCAATAACAGAGTGTATTAAATTGACAAAACAAAATATTAGTTTTAAATATCAGAGGCACAACAGTTGTGGCAATATTTGTTATTAAGCAGTTCCAACATGGCTCTTCTCCAAAGAACCTCGCAGACACACCTGTTGTACAAATAAAATCAACGCCTCAGTCACGTATGATTTTAAAGGTCAACGTACTCTTCACAAAGGTGCAATAAGACTGTATTGTGGAGCAATCTAAGCCATAATAAGGAGGAAGACCTTAAAATTAAACATACTCAAGTGATTAACCAGCTAACATATTTAGTCATTTCTTCTAGGTTTATCCGTTTGTGTAGTTGCCTTTGAATATTAACAACCTTATAGATTAAATTTAGTCTGTATACAATTTTTTCTTCTGCCACTGTAATGTTTATTTTACAGTGGCACATATTATTATTATGTGTGGTTTTTTTTAAATCATGTAAAGCATTTTGAACTGCCTTGTTGCTGCTGTTGTTAGTTGTGCCTTACTGATAAACTTCACTCTTGGCTAGTAAAAGCAATTAGCAAAAACATTTTATGGAGCATGGTTTAACATCTGCTACATGATTTTATTACATGTCAAACTAGTATAACTTTTCTTCAGAAATGTTTTTTCCCAGATACTTTAAATCAGTTACATTTAAGTCACTTTAAAGGGGGCATATAATGCAAAATCCACTTTTTTGGGAATGCATTTTTTGTGTACTTTGAGTGTCTAAGAGTACAAAAAGCTAAAATCTATTCTCTCCCAGTGCTGCGTGAGTATCTTCATATTCTTTTTGGGCTATATTTTTCAGTCCACTAATTTTTTTTCTCTATTGCCTATTGTGTTTTTTTTTTTGGCCATGATGTCATTGCGTTTGCTGTGGAACTGCTAAACAAGGACATGACTTCCGGCTAATTAGCTTTGTGAATCCGCCCATTTTGTCTTTTAATTGCAGCAAATTTTGTAGTCTAAGTTCAGTTATGCCAAAGTTGCAAGTAATCAAGTCAAAGTGTTTGGTTTTAGTGTGTATTAACCCACACAATTCCTTACATCACCCCAGCATCAGAGTCTTTGAAGTTTCTAGTTGAATTTTATTTTTATCAATAAGATACCTACATCAGTGGAGAAAGTCTGGTTTTAGAGCACTCCAACGCACCAACAAAGATTTTTCGAAACACTTCAAGGGGCTAGTCCCTTCCCTTCTCAAACAAGGCACACAGCAAAACAGTGAGCTACTGATAACGCTAAAATGATAAGCTTATTTTAAACATGATTTTTTTGTGTTGATAATGACGTCTTGGTTAGTACTGCATGTTTTGGTTGCAATTATTTGGATTAGTTTTTGCAATTTTTGTCTTGCGGAAAACATGCAAATGCATCCAGTGACATGTCTGACTTCGCTAAGATAACTACTTAATTATGTTTAGGCATTGTTTACTTTGTTCATATTGTGTTAGCATTATTATTTTAATACATATCTGACATGCATGGAGACTATAAACTACTAGAAGGACCTGTATAATGCTCCATATTGCAGGTAGTTGGTATGGATGGTGAGGGTGTAAACAGAGTAATTACTACCCCATTCCGATGTGTTCATTTGGATGTGTGATTCTGCAGGCTTGTCATTCCCCTGCTCTGAGTCAGACTCTGGTTCTGACATGTAAGGTTGGATGGACACCTCTTCCATTGTTGACATTGTTAATAAACTTGGGAATAAAAAGTTTCTCTGCCTGTTGATAATTTTATTGCTGCTGTCAAAGTACAAAAATGGCCAAACAGTGTGGAGTGGAATGCTGTGCACTCTGGAGTATGGTGGGGTGTGAAATGCCTCATTCACATAAAAAAAAACCCCACAGCAAAATGAGTTGCTCTAAAACCTCAGGACGGTTGCAAATGAGACCAAAGCATTGTAGTTCTACTTTATATAGACCATAAGTGAATGATTTACATGTGAAAATCAAGGATTTAAAAGCATGTGTCCACTTTAAAGCTTGCTCAGATACATAAAAAAATAAACAGAAACTGACTAAGGTGTGTCGTGATCAGATGAAGACCTTGTCTTGGTGCAAAATTACTGCAAACTGAAGTGACTTATTTTTATTTTCTGTGACAATGGGTGTCATTGTAAAATGCTTTTTGATAAAACTGCATTGAATTAATGTGAAGGCTGTAAAAAGAACAGTTGAATCAAAGTTACAATGCTAACATTTTCCTAGGCACAGGCATATTTTTTGTATTTATTTATTCACTTAATTTATGGATTTCCTAAAAGCATGCACTGGAAAAAAGAGCACCAACCAAAAGCATGTTGATTCCTATGTGCCTTGGGGATATGACTGTTCAAACATTCTTTTTAAATGACACTTCTGCATGAGATAAAGATTTAAAATATATTGTTATATTTTTGCCTCTGTAAGGATCAGCTCAGAACAAAGTCAGAAAGCAGTGATGGATCCTGAGAGGAAGCAGAGCTCTTCTCCGTCCCTTTCTATGATGACTGACCACTCCAAAGAGGACCTTGTGAACTTCACTGTGGATGAAAGGTGTGTTACTGGCATTACTTATCCTGTGTGCCAACTCTTATGAAAGCATAATGATTTTAACTGCTCAGGTTTTGTTAATGATTACACACTTCCTTAAATTCACATATTTATATCTTTGCCAGGAATTCTCAGGGTGCTGTGGCAGATGAAATAAATACAAGCCCAACAGATCCATCTCTAAGGAGCTACAGGTCTAAGACCCCTCCACCAGATTTCAGGTTTGACCCTCCAAACATCAAATAGGGCAATTATCTTGTTTTGTTTATTCTAAGATAAAGACAAAGGGAATAGAAAATTTTCAAGTAGACATAGCTTTAAATGTGTATTTTGTATGTTTCTACAAAGAAACATACAAAATACATCATTATTCATCATAACAATCATCATAACAATACATCATTATCCATTATTTAAAGAAATAGTAAACAGTTGAGTGGTACCGATAATTTATTTGCTAATGTAAAGAATGACTTAACTCAAGTGTTTGTATTTGAAGAAAGAATAGTTGATTCCTATGTGCCTATGTCCTATGTCAAGTTTAAAAATTCTAAACTTGAAGAGAGAACCCAAAATGCGTTATGTGTGTTCATTTCATTCTGTGGACAAAAAGCCAACAGAAGAAAACCCACATCTGCATCCGAAGCAACTGAGTCAGTGAAATAGCTACATATGCTAGTGCGGGTAGCTACATATGCTGGTGCGACTTGAAGAAATTTCTTCAAGTTGTTATCCCTCTCCACAATAATTGTAGGTTGCGGTAAACCAATATTCTCACATTTAAGCTTTGATAGCTGGTGTTCCCACATATTTTATAGCCTGCCGGTTAGCGAGTTGCTAACGGAAATGGCGTTTCCAGTTAGCGGCAGAAGTCGCACCCATAATTCACGCAAAAGCATCATGGGGCATAGGAATAAGGTGGATACAGACCAAATGCTCTTTGTCTTTTAATTGTGTCTATTATGTCATCTGTTCACAGTAACGTGATTCCATCTGCACGGCTTCTCCCTGTTGGCGGGCTGCAGACACAATCAGTATGTGTTCTCTTAATAGCAATAATATATGTTCACAAAAGTCTGTGGAAACACCCTAAGATAATTTTCCTTCTATTTCATCTTCTTTAGGAGAAATATAGCTTCACACTTCCACAACTTATTGAAGACTGGACTAAGGATCAAGTGAAAGACTGG